CAATGCGACCCCCGCTCAATCATCGCAGAGCGCCAGACGGAGATCAGCGAACCTCACCACTCCTGAGAAGCTCGAAGACAGGAGGGCGAGGAATCGCATTGCGGCAGCCAAGTGCCGCCAGAAGAAACTTGATCTGATCGCTAGCCTTCAGCATCAAAAAGCCCTTCTTGAACGAGGGCAGAGTCTTTCGAGCATGGAGGGCAATGAGTCACAGGATTAGCCTCTTCATCGGTCCTGTAAGTCCTGAGCCTCATGATTCCGTACAATAAGCACGGATCGAGTTCTCCTTTGTTTCGCTCATCAACGAATGTTTCTTCAAATAAAGTTCGCCGTATTTATGATACCACTTTGAGTCACTTCTCATACTCATGGGGAGTCCTCCGGGAAAGTTGAGGATGAGCAAGTATATTCGGAACAGCGGAATCATTGGGGCCGAGCCCGTTGAGCCCCGTTTTCTGTAGAGAAAGTCTTCTGATGAAGCGAAGCAAAGACTAGCATTCATAGGCGACGACCGTCGGAGAAAGTAGGTAGCCTCACTCCGAAAATATATCCCATGACGATGATTCTGGTGCTCGCGAGGTACAGGCCGAGTCCGGCAAGTCGGGACCAAAGAGGGAGGATCCAATGGAGGATCGGATGGGTTAAGGAACGAAAGCGGGTGGCGAGCGAGGTGCATTATATCTTCCACGCTGTCGAAGTGTGAGCCGTCATTTGCGACGCGGCGCCGTCCTATCTTCCCGTGAAGCGTCCGGTGGTAACGCTTGTGCAAGCGAATCCCGCAGCGAGAACAAGCACCCTCGCAAGCGAATCCTGTATTCATGTGTGGGAGCGGGCTCCTGGGGATTCTGAACCTAATCCGAGAATGAGTTTGGACATGGTCGCGACGCATGCAGGATTTTCCGGTCTGAGTAGGCCTTGAAGATGCTCACCGTTCGAATGACGATTCCCTATAACCGTCTTGAGTGTGACCATCGAACCGAACCCAAGGCATGATCAAAACGAATGGTCACGTACATCTCCCGGAATTTACGAATTCGCTGAAAAAGACCCCATAACAGGAAATCACAGACTCCCAAAGAATCCCTCCCATGCGAATACCTGCTTCAGGCAACGAGGGTTCCGAAGGTATCATTGGGAGGCTATGCTCGCAACCACCCAACAGAGTTCCCGCCCCCTCGTACAGCCGAATTAATGCGGCGAGGTAAATCGAGAGCTCAGGCACCAATCGAGGTTCCTCTGGAGACTCGGGATCTGAGGCTCAACTCCGCTCTTCTACCAGCGCGATGTGCTGTGAAATTGTGAGCTGACTGAGAGCCTGAGAGAACATTTCACATTTCTCGCTACACATCTTGGAGATTAACGGTTCCAGGCTGGTTTATGGAGCCTGGATTCCTTCTGGCGATAAAACCAGCCAGCTCGATCAAGGGCTTCAAATTCTGGGTGGAAATCTCGGAGCAACTCTCGAGTCTCCCGTCCACGAGCCACACGAGCAAGTGAAAACTAAATCTTGCTGCTGCGCCTAACCGCGTGCGATCTTTTCATTCCCCGCTCCCCTCGGTCTCGAGAATGACTTTTGAAAGACCCGGGCCGAGCACCGGGATTTCCATTTTCCCAAAAACGAGTTATCGATTCCGAATGTAAGGGGTGTGGGGCGTCGACTAAGACTGGACCCCTGATGCCTCCAGCGTCCCCAGAGCGTACCTGAGAAGCGCCTGTCACAGTGGGGCAGAACGCGAAGATAACCGAGAACATCAAGACGACGCAAGACGTAGCATGGGCGAATACAAAGAGTCAAGGACATCAGCCTCTCACGTCTACGACAAAAGTCGCGGCTCGGCGCTGCTGGCTCTGGCAAGAGCTGGAGCTCTCCCAACAAGACGACACAATATATTCTTCGAACCTGAAACGCACTGCGAACGATGTGGAGTTCACCAAGAAACACTGGCACATGTGATTTTTGAATGCAATGAGCTTCTCATAACCGATGAGGACCTAGCTGCTCGCCTCGGCCTAAGCAGCGAGACAAATCCTACATTGGTTGACGCCACAAGGCGATCCCTCGAGATATGGGAGCGCGAAACCAGAAGGATCCGCTGAGATTTATCGCGCCTGAATTTCAGGGGTTGACTCTGCGATACTGTAGTCAGATCCAATAAACCATGAAACCATGGAAGTAGGTGGAAAAAATTATTTCGCTTTTTTTTTAAATCATCCAAGCTCTCCGATAAGGGGGTGATCATTGGACTACGATTTCAGATCCATCTGCACAGATATATAGAGTTTATTCGCTGACACCGAAACCTAGCTGCTTCAGGCAACCTATGAAGTTATAAATTACAAAGTTCGATAAATCAATAAACCATGAAGCCGATGGAACTTCTTGAATGATATCCGATTCTCAAGTCTCAATTGGATTCTATTTGGCGAATTCCGGGCAAGAATTCCTCTTCATCTTCTGCTTGAGCCGGCAGGACTCGACCTTTCCATAACTGATTCAAATGACGCCTGACGACTCTTCCATTGACTTTCACATTGAGCACTTCGTGTGGCGTATAATTATACGTAGCCACCGCTTTATCGAGAGATGCCTGACCAGGAGTTCCTAGGGAGCGTTTCAAGGTTTCCGTTGCTCTGGGGATAATACGGCGAAGACCGAAGATGAATGATCTTAAAGCTGCTGCAAAGCTCAGAAAACTCGGCAGACGCAAACTGCGGACCGTTTTCCGTAACAATGGTCTCTGGGTCTCCGAAGAGACGGAAAACTACGTGCAGATATTTCACGAGCTCGTACTAGGCTTCAAGAATGCATCCACGACCACAATGAAAGAGTCACCTTGCTGCGGTTCAGCGAAATCCAAATGGATACGAACCCACGGTTTACCTGGATCAGGCTATGGGGCGAGGGGAACCTTGATGGGACTCGCTGCGGTTTGTGCACAATGACTGCACGACCTCACCAAAGCCAGAATTTCAATTCCCATCCCTGAGATGGGACCAGGTTCTGACGCATCCAGGAGGGAACCCGAACTCGCTTTCTAGGCTCTAGGCCCGCAGTCTGCAAAAGGTTTTGTAGGGCGACTTACCCTCGGAGTCAGCGGGATGGACTCGAGGTGGGCCCTATGAACCAGGAGAATGATTGGGACTTGAGCGAGCCGCTTGGTCTTCTTCTTCAGAAAAGTTATACGACTACGACAACTTCCGTTGTATCTCCCACGAAAGATGGATGCGTGTTTACTCAAAGATCGTCTCAATGATGGGGAGTCCTCTATCATAGCGCTCTCGAAGTTAATTCGGGCCAACAAAACCTCCTCGAGGAGATCTAAGTTCCTAACACTCTCGTAAGCCAGCCAATGTTCGAAAAATTCGAAGCGAGACACTTTGATTTGCACACCTGCGAGAGATTTCAGGACTCAACTTTTGCATCGAAAAAGCAGGGTTTGAGAACTGAATCGGGAAGAGGAGAGATCGGAGAGCATTTTCCAGCTTCTCCCTGGAGGAAGACTCAGGAAGAGCATGTACTTCTACCTACAAGAAAGTTGACAGATATCCCGAAGAAATGACAAGTCATCATGAAATTCACTAGATATCTCAAAGATCTTATATTGTCCCCGAATGGTGCATCGAACATTCATCTCGACTCAATCAAGCTCACTGGTAAGTTCTTCTTCCATATCGACAGCTGGTTTCGTTTTCTTCCGCGGAGCACTCCAACGACCACTTCAATGTCTGGATCGGGTGGTGTTTCACTTAAGCCGTTCGTTACGCACTCGTGGATCTAAATATCGACAAGTGGATGTGCCTCCCGAGTTTCGAGGAGTCGATAAGGAGGTTCGTCACTCAAAAAGCGGGATCGCTGACTTTTTCACTCCTAGTTTCGCATTCTGCCCCACTGTGGCCCCTGAGAAGAAAAACGATGGTCTCGGACGTGAGTAGCGAGATCCCTATCAGAGTCGTCTGGAACCTGTGTTGATTCGGATCCCATTATGTTGAAAGCAGTCTCGACCAGTCAGGAACTCTCGACCGCGCAAGAAAGTTTCAATTGAATGAATCTCTCGGGACACGGTTGATGTCTCGGAATGATGCATGATCTTTAGTTGCTCCAGCGTGGAACGTAAGTGAGGTTTATTCATCGTTTCCTCCCCTCAGCCTAAGGTTATGAACTTCCTGAACGATCACTACTACAACATCACTCTTTCTCGATTCCCGATTGGGTCGGATGCGGCCTCGCGATGCACACAAGCTTCTCCCCCGAGTCAACGAGTGAAATCCGACCCTGTGTGAAACCTCCACATTCGCTCTTTCACTGGAAGTCACGGTGCGCTCTTCAACTTCTACAGAATTCATTGGAGAGCGATGCCTTCCTCGATGATGTTTTCTCTTCAGTGTGTGTTCGACTTCAACTTCAAATCGCGGACCGTGGCTCGATCCATCAGCCGATTTCGACGCAGAGCGTCCTCATAGTTTCCTCGATCCGAGGTCCTGGGGAGACATTTGAGAGCAGCCGCATAGTCCCATCCGCCTCATCAACCGCACGCGGTCATTCCTCTTGTGATAATGGAGATACCGATAATACCGCTCGACTTAGCAACCCCCTTCAGCATTCACTGGACCCAGAACCGGCTCCCGGCTCCGAATCGAAGCCTGCCGATATCTCGCCATGTAGTGAGCCCATGAAAGGTGAATAGGAATTCCGCAGCTCAAAGGCACTCCGAGAAGTGATTGAGATTCAGAGTGATTCCGAATTCGGATCGGAATTCTCAGAATGATCCGAGCCTTCGGAATCCCCCTCTCCCCCTCTCGCGCGATTGGGTCGAGGTTTCGATCAAGAAACCATTATCTCTGAGTGACCCGCAACAGCCCCTCTCTCAAAGTCATCCTTCTTCTCTCGATGACTCTGTATATATGCCCTGTATTTTCGCTGTTCTGTCAATTCCGCTGTCCCTCGATCTCTGCTATCAAGTTTCGCTCTCCCGTCCTCAGCCGCATCACTCATGGAGAACATGGCTACCTCAGGAGCTCCGTCGCGAGAGGAGATCAGAAGTCGGAAACGAGCCATGCAAATCGACTTGGATCAAGGCGCGACGGGACTCTCTGCGAAGGAGATGAGATTCCACTTCGCAACCGCCCGGCCGATGACGACTGTGACTGTTTTGGAGACACCCGATCTCGAAAAAGTCGTCCTCACCAGTCCTCAGCTCGAGGCAATCCTGCAGCAAGGTTTCACGGAGCTTGGATCCAAGTTTTTGGAGTCACCTGTTCAGTTGCGTTTGACTCCAGTCGGGGCAGCAGATCCCGTCAGAGCTCAACTGAGAGGACCAGCGCCAGTCTCAACGGCGGCGACCTCACCGCGAACATCCGCAGCGGGAACATGGGCCTCACCGCAAACATCCGCAGCGGGAACTTGGGCCTCACCGAGGGCATCGGTAGCACTGCGATTCAGTGTAGCACCGCATGCTCCGGTAGGACCGCAGGCATCGGGAGCACTGCGATTCAGCGTAGTACCACAGGCTCCGATAATACCGCAGGCATTGACAGCACCGCAGGCAGCATTGACAGCTTTCGCCGGGGCTGTCCATGTTCTCAGACCTCAAGCGTCCGCATTTCAAGAAATATCGAACGTGCGTCAACCGGCAAGAAGGATGGTCGAACCGAGCAGGGTCGTTCCCGCAGGGGCTCCGGGACCTTCATCAACGAATCCAACGGATCCCTCGAGCTTCGACAGGCTCCAGGACAAACGGGCGAGGAATCGCATCGCTGCAGCGAAATGTCGCCAGAAGAAATTGGATCTCATCGCCGAGCTGAGGGAATCTATCGCCAGGCACACATCTGGGACACCCTCCACGCTGCAGACATGCGCGACAGCGTCGACGCACGCTGGAGGGCTCGACAGTTCGGATTCCGACGCGAGCTCTGAACCTTCGGGAGGGCCCAGCACAAGCGGAGAACCTCCATCGGTGGCAGGCCCATCCAATGCGACTCCCGCTCAATCATCGCAGAACGCCAGACGGAGATCTGCGAACCTCACCACTCCTGAGAAGCTCGAAGACAGGAGGGCCAGGAATCGCATTGCGGCAGCCAAGTGTCGCAAAAAGAAACTTGATCTGATAGCCAGTCTTCAGCATCAGAAAGCCCTTCTGGAACGAGGGCAGAGTGTTTCGAGCATGGAGGGCAATGAGTCACAGGATTAGCCCCTTCATCGGTCCTGTAAGTTTTGAGCCTCATGACTCCGTACAATAAGCACGGATCAAGTTCTCCTTTGTTTCGCTCATCAACGAATGTTTCTTCAAATAAAGTTTGCCGTATTTATGATACCACTTTGAGTCACTTCACATACTCATGGGGAGTCCTCCGGGAAACTTGAGGATGAGCAAGTATATTCGGAACAGCGGAATCATTGGGGCCGAGCCCGTTGAGCCCCGTTTTCTGTAGAGAAAGTCTTCTGATGAAGCGAAGCAAAGACTAGCATTCATAGGCGACGACCGTCGGAGAAAGTAGGTAGCCTCACTCCGAAAATATATCCCATGACGATGATTCTGGTGCTCGCGAGGTACAGGCCGAGTCCGGCAAGTCGGGACCAAAGAGGGAGGATCCAATGG